ATAGCATGGGAGCTATTCCACACAGGCAGGCTGTCCAGATTTTATCTGGTAATTTATTTTTTATTATCCACCGAAAAAGGTGGGGGGGGGGGGGCATGGCTCCCCCTGTTCTGCAGTCCCAGTAAGAAAGTAGTTAGGGTTCATTTGGGTACATTGCAGCTTAATGGGCTGACTATATATCTCAGGGGCTGCTCATTGGCAGATAGTGTATTAAATTAACCCACTGCGAGGCAGCAGTGAGCAGTCTCCTCTTAAAATCATCTGGCGTTAGACAGACAGAGTAAACCGATAAAGATAGTCTTTTATATAGGGCTCATCAGGGCAGTTAGGGCACATTGTCACATGTAGGTGGGCCTCCTCTACTCGAGTATCTCAGTCTGGTCTTGTGCTTATCTATATATATTAATTCTGCGTTATGATGGGCAAGTATATAAATTTCACACCATATTAAACCTTTACCAACATGTAAACAACCACAATTTATACAAGTAATTAAAAACTGGCAGTCTGGCAATAAAACCACAAAGGCCAGTGCTGACACTGAAAAGTGAAAACAACATAATTTCATGTAGTACACGATATTTAATCATTAACAATATTTTTTATGTCCCCTATTGAAATATTTGCTGTATATATTAATAGGATGATGAGTTTTTGACATAATATGAAGGGTCTAGTGACTGAGTGACTCAGACTCTCAGACTAGCTAGTCGTCTAGAAAGTTTAATATAAAAAAGTTTCGTGAATCTTACCTGAAAGAATTAGTCTTTCTTTTTAGTTTCTTTGTAGTAAAGTGCTGCATCCACAAGCGAAGCAAACCGGCGTTGTAAAACAAGCAATGTGCGAGCGAAATATTACGATTTTTGCTCAAAAACAACAGAAAACTTGAAATATCTTTATATATTAAAATATATCTGTGCAAAACCAGGGGGGTTAAGGACATCTTCGAAAGCTTAGGATCGCGGTTGGTCAGTGGCAATTACCATGAAAATAAAGTAAGTGTTGTCATGGAAATGGCGTAAGATCCGCCATGTTTTTGCGGACACTTTTTTATCCCGAGCAGGTCCTCCAGTAATATAGTATAGCTCAGTGGCACGGACTGATAGCTTATACTTGTAAATATTGAAATATTTCGGTTGTTTCAACAGTTTTTATTGCTATTTTTTTAGCATAATCAGCAATATGATACCTTACTAACCGTCACCCCCTTTACCTAAATTTTGCCTTTCCAAAAATGAGGCCGCTGACCAATAATGAGCCGTAAACTTTGGCGGGAAGATTGAAACAATATAAGAATTGATGTTGTGATTTTTGATTCGATATTGACAATTTTCGTTTGAAATGCTTCCTTCATCAGCAAGAAAATCCGCCAGGAAAAAGAAGGCGGCATTTTCACATGTTGACAGAGACCACGTTTCAGTAGAACTGCGAAAATGGGCCCTGGATGAAATGTGCTTTCGTCCGCAAGGACGCCATGTAAACAGTCGCATACCAAATGTTGAAGAATTTAAAACGTAAGTAAATTTACTGATAATATGTCCGAATTTCGATGGGATAGTATTTGTATTAAAACACTTACGTGTTTAATCAAACAGGCCAGCTATCAAAATTACTAATTTCAGATATTTTAGACCATATGATTAAGATATTTATTATATTAATGGGCTATTACATTAAAAAACCAAACCCCCCCTGTCGAGGACCTCTGCTTTTGGGGATTTTTACCCCTCTGGAATGCAAAAAAATCTGTGTAATTGACCCCTCTGGAAGAGACTTGAACCCCTCTGGAACTACTGGAAGTGAATTTTTGCTTTTTAACCCCTCTGGAAAGAGCATCTTTGTTCCATTTTTGTCAATTACCCCTCTGGAAAAAATGACAAATTTCCCCCTTGGAAAATGAGGTCCTCGACTGGGGGGGGGGTACGGATATTAAATGTAATAGCCCAATGCTGTCTATAGGTAAATTGCAGTCAATGTCTTAGGAATTGAAAGGCAATAAAACGGTGGCCATGTTCGTGCCAAATTCAATGAAAGATAATTATTTTGTTGATATACCACCAATGTGTCTGCTGTGATGTAACATGTAAATTATCAACCATTATGACCCAGGTTGGGATGTATTGGATACCGGGATCCAGAATCCAGTAAAATACAGATGTTCGGCAATATCTGACTATCTGGTAAACCAGTATCATTAAACAGGGTCCCAAATTTGCAGTATCCTAGTGTCCTGACGACACCAGTTTTGAATTTTGGATGTACCAGATGTCAAAACATTGCCAACCTATTGGGTCATTCCAGAAAAGATCCACACTCCCACCACAGAGGAAATTTCTGTTGTCCGGATGGGGAGGGGGAAATTTGTTTTTTATACCATAAACCTCCGACTATAAGCCCTGGCGAGCCGTAAACCTCCGACTATAAGCCCTGGCTTATACTCGGAGGTTTACGGTAATAGTAAGTGTATTTAGGATGTCCAAAGGAAGTAGGGGGGTTAACTTCCAATCTCCTCTGTGGGGGAGGTATGGATGTTTTCTGGAATGACCTATTTGGATACCCAACAGGTTTTTGCCTGCCTTAGCCATTTTCATTTCCACAAGTTTAATCAAGACAATTATGAAAGTCAGTTAATTGTTCTGACATAATGATTGTAGTTAATTTAACGCTGCAGTTAACATTTAGTGAATGTTTGAGTTCATAGCAACCAAATAATGGGTCATTCCAGAAAACATCCATACCTCCCCCATGGAGGAAATTGGAAGTTAACGGCCCCTACCCCTTCGGATGTCCTAATACACTTACTATTATCAGAAACAATTTTTTTCCCTCCCCCTCCAGATGGCAGAAATTTCCTCTGTGGGGGGAGTGTGGATCTTTTCTGGAACAACCCAATATAATAGACTGAAAGCATGTTAAATTTTGAGAACTTGGATACCAGATCTTCAATTCAAATACCAGATTAAGTGGTATTCACAATGGATTCCGGGAAAAAATTCTGATCTCAAACCCTGCATTAGGTCGAGAAAATGTTTTCTTTGTGTTTTGTGTGTCCTAAGAAATTGTGGATTACCGAACAAGAACAATTACTGGGAATGCAGAAAAAATTTCATGAAGTAGATTGCTCTCTGCTATGGGTTCCCAATATTTATGCTTATTATATTAAGGGATATAAGATGCATAGTACAACATTAGATTTATGAGAAAAATAGTGAAGTTACAATTGCTATATAA